AAACGATACCTGACGAAAAGAGCCCAAGCTGAAACATTCCAAAGCCACACCACATGCAGCCCAAACTGGAGAAGCGGCACCACGCGAAACCCGTAGTGATACCCACCAGCTTGTTTGGCCTGTGCCAAAGCCCCGGAATAACACAACTTGAAATCGCGAATTCGCTCCCCTTCGTCACCAGGAAAGGCTGGACGATACCGTTGTGAGCAAACGACTCCCAACACGGTCCAGACGCCCTGATGTCCCCCAAGCGCCGACGAGAAGGCGGGAAGCTGGGCTAGCGCGAGCGAGTAGGAGCCAAAAGATGGTACCACGCGCCCCGCCCACCTGTGCTTGAGCCAAAATGGCTACGGAGCAGGAGGAAGAGGAGGAGGAGGAGGAGGAGGGGGAGGGGGAAGAGGAGGAGGAGGAGCCGCGTGCGCCCGAACCCGCCCCCCGAGGGGCGGGCCTCCAGGTTTTCGCGGCGGTGGCAGAGCGCAGCGACCAGCCCCTACGATAGACTGCACAATCCACAACCAGCTCTTTTCTCCTCCTGGCCCGCCGGGCCCCGCATCGACAATGACCTCACGGACTCAACGGTCCCGCATGGGCGATTTCGGAGGGCGGGTGCCGACGCGCGAGTCTTGCTCCGCGTCTCCAGCGCGCAGGCACTCCTCGGCGCTCACCACAGCGTTCAGCACCCGCCGCGACCACGGGCAGCCACGACGGCGCCAAAGGCAGCGCACGAACCAGTACCCATATGGCAACCACGACTACAAACATCACCCAAACCACCAACTCGACTCAAACCAGCCGTTGGTGCAGGTTTTGGCAGGTGTAAGGAGGCCGCTGGATTGGTGTTGATTTTTCCAGTCCTCCTTGAGCTTAAGGTCATTTGGTGGCGACTTCCAGTTTAGCCTGCGTGCGGCGCAAACCGTGGGCATGGGCATGATGTCACCAGTGATTCGATTGAGGTGGTCGTTGTACTAATTGGGTGGGGTCCCGTTGCTTCTTCTTGGCAGTGGTATCCTCGTCGGGTGTGGTTTGTTGCTTGCATTTGCCTTTCTTGTTTTTCTCTGCCTTTTGCTGGTAGGCGCCGGTTGTGCCTTTAGTACCTTTGCTGCTGGAGCCCAGGCTCCAGTAAGTGTCGGGGTGCTCGGGCTCCCACTTGCCTTGGTTTCTCAACCGTTCGAGGCCGGATCCGACTGCGTGTGGCGTAGGTCGGGGTGCAGGCCCCTTGCTCGGAGGACAATTCGAGGTTGTTGTCCATGGTGGTGGCGTAGTCCCTGTTTCGCTCGCAGTTGAGCCCAGCTGTGCCGCCATAGTTGGAGGTATAGGTGGATGTCGCAGTGGTCGTGTGGCAGCGTGGTATGATTGAATTACATCTTTTGCGCTATGAAGCCGTAGTGGAAGTCGAGCGTCAGCACGTTGTCGACGTAGTCGCCTGTGCCAGGCGGGGCTACGGGATCTCTCGTACCGTGAGGTCGTAGTTGCGGATGTGGCTGTTGTCGCGGCCTGTGTCGGTCGCTTCTCTTTTGGATTTGCCTCCCTCCCTCACACTACTAGCCGCAGGGCAGGCCACTCAGCCCGCTACGCTGCCACACAGCGGTGAGGTGCCACGACGCAGCGTTTAACGGTACAGAAACATGCAACACTTGTGCTGGCCCGGCTCTCCTCGGGGAGTTGCTGCCGCAGCGCTGTAGCCGCGCCGCCCCACGGAGTGGGATCGCCAGTGCAGCAATCCCGCCACCAGTCGCGTTTCAGCTTAGCCAGAGCGACCGTCACATGTGGATTCGGGAGGTCATGACGTTGGAAGGGTTTGGTATTGCGGCGGGGAGGGGCTCTGTCTTCCGCTGCCGTCTGCCTCGTACGAGCACAGCATACCTCACCAGCCGGTTACCCTCTGGGGGCGTCCGCCCCTAGACCTACCTGGCTCACGAATGTCATCACCCCCTGGGGGCCGATCACTAGCGTCTGAACGCCATTGCAGACATCAGTGCCTCAGTGCCTCAGGAGGACGAGGGGCAGGAGGAGGAAGAGGAGGAGGAGGAGGAGGAGGAGGAGGAGGAGGAGGAGGAGGAGGAGGAGGAGGAGGAGGAGGAGGAGAGGAGGGGAGGAGAGGAGGAGGGAGGAGGAAGGAGGAGGAGGAGGAGAGGAGAGGAGGAGGGAGGAGGGAGGAGGAGGAGGAGGTGGGGGAAAACGAGGATCGAGGCCGATCCAGGTCCGAACAGGCTCGAAGTTGCGGAGGATGAGGGTCGAGGCCAGGGGGGATCGAGCTTCGAGGGCCGATGGGAGTCGGGGCCCACGGGGTCGCCCCAAGCCCCGCGCCTCGCCGCCGCACGCAAGCTTCGATGACCCCTGGGCCTCGAGCCTCCCTTCGGCCTTGGGCGGACCGGCTTCTGCAGCCGCGCGCCGTCCTGCTCTTGCCTTCCCTGGCTGCCCGCCCCTGTCCCTCCTCCCCCTCCTCCCTTGTCCCTCCCCTTCTCCTAGACCTGTCTTCCTCCTGCCCACCCTCCTCTTTCCCTCCTCGTCGGCCTCCCCATCTATACCTCCTCTTCCCCCGCCTCCTCTGGCATCCGATCTTCCTTTCGTTTCCGCCTTTGGGCGGTGTTTTCGGGCCCCCGGACCACCAGACCAAAGAGATGCAGTCAAGTTTGCCCTTCCGGCCCCCGGACCTCCAAGATGGCTCGCGCGAGTTCCGAGGTTAGCATCCCGAGAGGGCAACATCGGGTTCTAAGTGGCCAAAATTGCTCGAGTCACCTTGTTCACGCCGTTTTGTCAGAGTTCGGGATCAAGGGAAAGGGGCATTTGATTGTTACCTTGGCCGATTCGCCGTCGGCCCGGCGAGCTTGGAGAACCCCAGGTGGCCGCAGGGACAGGGGTGGGAGTCCTGCGTGGAAAAGCGCTTCCCAGGACAACCCCTGGACGACCCCCGGGGGCCCCCTCTCACACGCGCAGACGGGGCGGATTTCCTCTCCCGCGGGTCTGCCAGCTGCGACCTCCCTTCTTCTCCCCTGACCTTCCGGAGAGCTATTTTTTAGCACAGGAGGCCTAAAAGCCAAAACAAAAACTGAGCGAAACAGCCTAAAACCAAGACGTAGAATCGCTTTGGGATAGGTTTGTAAGTCGCGTGCTATTCTTTAGCCCTCTTGGAAGGCCAGGGCCCTCTGGTCCTTCCCGACTGGTGAGGTGGTCGCAGGCCGCGTCGCCCATGCTGCACGCAGAGGCGCCCGCCCGGCGCTGGTGCCCGCGCGCACTCCTCCCGCCTGCGCGAGCCCCGCCGCCGCCGCCGTGCACTGCTGGGCCACGCCCCGGCGAAGCCCTCCTCTTGCTCCGAACGCCCGGCGCCCACCGCCCCTCGTCGGCCCCCATGGCGGCTCTCGGGCCCGACGGGCCCGGCCTCCCGGGGCCGGCGGGGCTGCCGGCCCGGCCGTGCCCGCGGTCGCCGAGAGCGCCTCGGGCCGCGGGCCTCCCTCCAGGTGCCGCGGGCGCCAAGGAGCGTCGGGCCCCCCGTCGAGATCCGCTGCTTCCTGGCGCGCGGCGCCATGCTCCGCGGCGCGCTCGAGTCGAGCCGGCGGCTCGCGGGGGCGGTGGTCGGACGGGGTCAGGGCGAGGATCCAGCCTCCTCCTCCTCCTTCTCCTTCCTCCTCCTCCTCCTCTCCTCCTCCTCCTCCTCCTCCTCCTCCTCTCCTCCTCCTCCTCCCCCCCCTCCTCCCTCCCCCTCCTCCTCCCCCCTCCTCCTCCTCCTCCTCCTCCCCCTTCTCCTCCTCCTCCTCCTCCTCCTCCTCCTCCTCTCCTCCTCCTCCTCTTCGTCCTCTCCTCCTCCTCCTCCTCCTCCTCCTCCTACCTCCTCTATCCGTGCCAGAGCGTTCCGGCACGCTCTCAGAGCGTGCCGGAGCGCTTTGGGAGGGCGGGGGCGCCCGAATCAGCCTCCCGAGCTGCGGGAGCTGGGAGAGTTTCGACCTGTCCTCGCCCGAAGCTGTCCTCGTCCTGGCCTCGTCTCACTCTGCCTCGTCCCGCGCCGCCGCGTCGACGAGTGTCTACGAGCGGTGGACGACGGACGGCGATGCGAGGCCTGGGGCGCGCCATCCGTCCCCGGGGCTCCTCGACTGCCTCGGCCCTCGCACCGCTCGGTTCTCGGCGACGTCGACGCCCTCCGCCCTGCGGCTACAAGAGGTCCCCATGAGCTTCCACGGGCTAGCCGCGAATGGTCTTTAATGCTGACGACCCCCGGCCCTGGGCTCTGGGCGGGAAATAGAAATTTGTCCCTCCTTCTCCATTCCCTCCATCCTCATTCCCCTTCCTCCTCCTCCTCCGCCTCATCCTCCTTCTCCTCCTGCTCCTCCTTCTCTTCCTCAGACACCTGTCTTCGTCGTCCACAGCAGAAGCATGTGGGGCCACCGCAACTCAGAACCACAGCAGAAGCAATGGGGGCAGCGACTCTCGCGGAGGCCTATGCGGTGTCCGCAGCGGGGGAACAATTTTTCTCCACTTATTGTTGGGGTCCCAATCCGTCAAGAAGCCCGCGGAAGATCCTTCGTTCCCCATCATTGCCCACGGGTTTATTCAAGACTCTTCGGGGTTAACTCCCACTCCGATGTTCGGCCTTCGACCCTTGACCCTCGACCCTCGACGACGACGACGACGCCGCCGCCGCCGCCGCCGACGCCGACGACGACGACGACGACGACGGCGACGACGACGACGACGACGACGGCGACGACGACGACGACGACGACGACGACGACCACAACGGCCCCTGGAGCCCTGGAACCTTCGCCGGAGCTGGCTTTTCATCCTGCCTCGTTTTCTGACGGCCCCGGGCCCGAAGCGGGCCCACAGAGGCCGACATCGGCGATCCTCGACGCTCGATGTTCGAACCTCTTTGATCAATCTTTGGACGGCGACGACGACGACGACCTCTGCCCCGCGGCCGCCCAAGGGCCGCCGAGGGCCACGGGCTACGAGGGCGACGGCCCCTCCCTCGGCCCCCAGGCTGCCGGGATGCCTCCGTCCGCAGAGACCGTCGTGCGCGTGGCGCCGGCGCTGCTGGCGGCGCTGGTGGCCCCGATCGGAGCGCTGTCCGCGTCATCGTTCCGGGACCGGGTGACGGAGGCAGAGAAGGTGGAGAAGGCCAAGGAGGCCGCGAGAGAGGGAGGACGGGTGCTGGAGCAGGGGAGGCAAACATACGGGTACCGCTGCTCGTTCTGGAGAGCCCTCGTCGCCACCACGGCTGGATTCTCCGCGAATTTCTGGTCAGCACCCCGGGAGGGGTCCGGGGAAGAGCGGTGTCAGTACTCTTGCGGGGCGAGGGAGGGCAGGGCAGGGCGAGGCGATCTGAGGAGGGCGAGTGGAGACAGCTGCAGTTGGCCTTCTGCGGGCCCTCTTGGTCGCTGTGGCAAGGCGCAGCTCGGAAGACCCGGTGCGCGTGGGTCGGGGAGCAGCTCCTGCGCTGCCGCTGTCTCGACTCGCCCGCCCTCCTCCGCAGGGGGACGGCGGGGCGCGGAGAGGGAGAGGGCGAGGGCGGGGGACTGGGGAGCGGAGGGGCAGAGCTCGGAAGGGGGGCGGGGCAGGGCACGGCAGGGCGTGCGGGGAAGGGCGAGGGGGAGGGGCGAGGGCAAGTTAGGTGCGCTCGCGTCAACATCTGACATCCTACCCCTCCCTCCCATCCCTTACCATGGCGCTGATTTTCTCTATCCGCGGACGCGTGTCGTAGCGGACCTGTGGCTCCGCGCGCGTGTGCGTAGTGGGTGGTGGTGCGCGTGCGTGCGTGCGTGTGTGCGTGGTTGTGGTTGTTGTGGTGGTGGTGTGTATGTGTGTGTGTGTGCGTGTGTGCGCGTGTGCTGTGGTGTGACGTGGTGTGGCGTCTTGGTGGTTTGGTGGTGGGCCAGGTGCGTACGTGCGTGATGGCGGTGGTGGTGGTGGGTGGTGTGTGTGTGTGTGTGTGTGTCTGTGTGTGTGCGTGTGTGTGTGTGTGTGTGTGTGTGTGTGTGTGTGTGTGTGTGTGCGTGTGTGTGTGTGTGTGTGTGTGTGTGTGTCGTGTGTGCGTGTGTGCGTGCGTGCGTGCGGGTGTGCGTGCGTGCGTGCGTGCGTGCGTGCGTGCGTGCGTGCGTGCGTGCGTGCGTGCGTGTGTGTCTGTGTGTGCGCGCGTGTGATGTGGTGTGACGCGGTGTAGCGTGGTGGTGGTGGGTGGGGTAGTGCGGTGGTGGTGGCGGTGCGCGGTGGTGGTGCGCGTGCGTGCGTGCGTGCGTTGGTGGGTGGAAGTGGCGGTGGGTGTGCGTGCGGCGGGGCGGGGCGTGGTGCGGCGCGGTGGTGGCGCGAGGCCGGCGCCCCAGCGAGAGCAGCATTTTGAAAAAACACGCAGGCGAAAACCCATTTCCCGGGAATCCTGCTTGTAAAAAGCAGTACGCGGGGGGGGTCGAATATTCCCAGGACGCCATCAGGGGAAGAGGGAGAGTAGTATTCATATTGAGTAGTTGTGGAGGAGAGGGGCGGGGAGGTGGTGGGGGGGGCAAGGGGGGGGGGCGTGGACCTGCTCGAGAGGGCCAGGGGAGGCTGGGCGGAGGCCGCGGGCCTTGGACCGGGCGCGAGGGGGGCGGGGCGTGCGGGGAAGGCTGGGGCCCTGGGGGGCCCCGGGGGGGTACATGGAGAGAGGGAGGCGCGGAGTGCGGGAGGGGCGGGGCGTGCGGGGGAGCGGGGGCTGCGGGGCGGGGCGTGCGGGCAGGCTCCGTAGGGAGGGGCGGGGCGTGCGGGGGGGTGGGGGGGGCGGGGCGTGCGGGGGGCGGGGCGGGGAGCTCGCCGAGGCAATCCGTCTCACGATTGGCGCCAGGAGGAGTAGCGCCCTCGTCTGTGGCGATGTCGATTTGGCTCATCGGGACAGGGTTGCGAAAGGTCGGCGCATGCTCGTTGGCACCGATACCTTGTGCCAGCGCGGGGCCCGATGCCCGCCTGAGCTGATTCCTGGCCCAGCGCAGCAAGTCCTCTGCCCGCGCGCGCAAGATTCGCCTCGCGGGCTGGCTGGGCCTGCCATTGTTGCGCGAGCCTTGGGCGGCGGTCAAGACCGCCCCCCCCACGTCTCCTGTGGAAGCGCAGTGCGTCTGATCTGCCCGGCCCCCAGCCATCCTGAGGGCCTCTCCAGGGAAGGGGTCAGAGGGGTCCCCCGGGATTGTCCCACGGAGGCCGCCGAAAGTGTCGATCGTGGAGCACTGGCCCCACCTCGCTGCCCCCCATTCCCTGGAAAGTCTTCTTCCCTGTCCGCCTCGATGGAGTGCGGGCCAGGAAGAGCGTCGACGGGGATCCAGCCGCGGTGGCGAGGGCTTCCCGTGAGACCCATCAAGGACCAACGTGACACCCCAGAACCTGGGATCCTGGGCCTTCTGTCCGTAACCCTCCACTTGGTCGTCGCCCCCTCCCGCGCTGCCCCGAGGCGACCAGGAGGGCCAAGCTCGTCCAGGAGCCTTGGGGTTGGGTCGGCAAGCTTTCCCTCGGCCTCGCCCAGACCCAACGCCGATGGCGGCGACGACGCCAACAGCGACGCCGACGACGACGCCGACGCAGACGCCGACGCCGATGCCGACGCCGACGCCGGCACCGGCGCCGACGCCGACGCCGACGCCGACGCCGACGCCGACGCCGACGCCGCCGCCGACGCCGACGCCGACGCCGACGCCGACGCCGACGCCGACGACCGCCGGCGCCAGCGGTGGGGTGGGGAGGGGTGGGGTCCCTTTCGCCAGGCCCTTGGAATATTTGCGTGGGGTCGCCTTCGACGTGTCAAGGAGTGCTTCGCACCCGAGGGCCCGTGAAACGCGCCGTCGTCAGAGGTCTAACGCTGCCCCCGGGGGCGTGAAGGCAACGACGCGTCGAGCGTCGCGGCTGGGGCCGCGGAGCTGGCTTTCTCCAGGGGGCGGTGGCAGGGCGCGGAGATCTGTGTGCGTCGCACGTTGCATAGCTCGATGCGCGAAGCTCTGCGACCCAGAGAATTGACCTCCAGAGACATGGAATGCGTCCTGGCCCGCATTTCGAGGGACGCCCAGCCGCGGCCACGAGGCCGCCCCAGGAGGCCTTCAAAATCCCGGAGCCTCCACGAGGCCCAGGAGCGTTCAAAAAGCGTCGAATTTGCAGCCCCTCAACCTCGGGAAAGCAGCAGCCTTTCCCCCCCGTTTCCTAGAGAGCGCTCTAGCCCAGAGGCGCGAGGCGGATCAGGCCGGTGGCGAACAGAAAGACCGCGGGAGGCCGACAAGAGGCGAGCGATTCTCAGAAGCCTTGAGCCTTGACATTAAAACCTTGAATGTCCGATGAGCTTCCCACGCCCCCCCCATAAACTGAGTGCGTGTAGGGCTCGTGGGGCACGGAGGGGCGCTTGGAGCACGAGTGGCCTGCTTCTCCCTGAGGGCATTTGGCGTCTCCAGCTCACCGCCCTGCTTCCTCCTCCTCGGTCTCCCTTCGCCCCTCTCCCCGCCTCGCCTCTCACTCCCCTCCCTCCCTCTGTCTCCTTGGTCTCTGCCTGGGCCCCACCTCCCTGGCATCGCTCGGACGTGTGCACTGTTTACCTCCGCGAGGGCCCACCGGCGAGCATCCTGACCATCCTGCGAAAACATACGCGCGCGAAACCGAAACATGCATGGGGAATGGACGTCCGAGCGATGGCAAGCCTCTGGCGGCCGATTCCGCGGAGCGATGTGATAGGGGTTGCTCGAACCAGCCTTTTCCCGAGTGCTGCTGGGCCCGCCCTTGCCTGCGTGCAGTGGGAACCCATGCCAAGAAACGCCCTGCTTGCCTCAAGGGTGCCGTGGGCTTCTTGGTTTTCGATTCTCGTGCCAGTGACAGTGTGACGCTCCCACACCAAAAATTCATGGACGTCCAGGGGTTCTCAGGGTTGGGCTTCCTGTGGGAGGTCTCTGGTGGTCGCGCTTCCTACTGTACTGCCTCTCCCTTCCTCCCCTTCATTCAGGAGGAAAAGAAGCACACGGACACAATTCATCCTCGATTCCTTGGGAAATATATGGGAAACGATGGGGAGTGGGCGGGGAGACAGAAACCCAGAACATATGGGAAAATATGGGGAATAGTTTTAATTGTGTGTACTTACTCCAGAGTTCGTAATAAAAGGGAGGGGTCTGGACCCTCCAAGACAAGCCATTTCAGACCTCCCCCGTGGGAGAACCCTCCAAAACATCGTCCCCAGACCCCCCCCAGGCCCTTCAAGACAGCCTGGAAGAGACCCCTCCCGAAATGAGACCCCCCTCCCTTTATTACGAAATCTGGAGTATCTGTGTGTCCTTGGGCCCCTTCACTCCTTCCGCGGCGCCTCTGCCCTGCCGCTCGTCGTCTCGCTGCCCCACCGCCCCGCCGCCTGCTGCGCATCTCGGGCCTCCGGCGTGCGCGTCGCGCACCACACGGGAGCAGCCGCCTCGCCGTGCGCGGACGTGTGTGCTTTTATGGGTGCCGCCCCGCTCTCCGCTCCGCTCCCTTTCGGGGGCAGTGCCAGGGTACTCCAGATTTCGTAATAAAGGGAGGGGGGTCTCATTTCGGGGGCGGTCTCTTCCAGGCTATCTTGGAGGGCCTGGGGGGGTCTGGGGACGATGTTTTGGAGGGTTCTCCCACGGGGGAGGTCTGAAATGGCTTGTCTTGGAGGGTCCAGACCCCCTCCCTTTTATTACGAAATCTGGGGTAGGGGGGCCACATGCGAACCCTACCCCTACCCCCCACGATTTTTGAGGGGGAGGGTGGGGTTCACTCCGCTCGGGAGCTCTCTAGCGAAGTGAATCCCACCCTCTCCCCCTCAAAAATCGGGGGGGGTCGGGGTAGGGTTCGCATGTGGCCCCCTAAAGGGGGGGGCATTTCTGTTGCATCTTCGGGGGGCCTCGCCTGTCCATAAAATCGGTGTCTTTTGGGGGGCCCGACGCGGGCTCGATGCGGACTCGACGCGGATTTGGCATGGGTTCGACGCGGATTCGACACGGATTCGACACGGATCCGACGCGTCCGACATGGATTCGACACGCATTCGACACGGACAGGGCCGCGACGGGACAGGCAAGGTCCCCCGAGGATGCAACATAATGGCATAGGTCGGAGGCCACATGCGAACCCTATCCCACCACCCCACGATTTCTAAAGGGGGGGAGGTGGGGTAGGGTTTGCATGTGGCCTCCTAATCGGTTCAGGGGGGGATGCGTCGATCCTGCATCGCCCATTGACCGCCGACAGGGGCCCCGCCCAGGAACGTGTGCACTGCACTCGCTATCGGAAGCCTCTCGCAGATCCATCGGCCAAGTCCCCCCCCTTACGTTACTTCTCAGAAGCTCTAAGCTCCCCCGCTTGATCTCTGGCGGGACTAGGACAGGGACAAACCGTTCAGGAGCGCTCGAGAACGCTCGTCTGAGGAGGCCGTGGCGCCCGACACTCCTCCGGACCGCTGGATCTCAGAGATCCTCGAGCTGTTCTGAGCCGAGCTTGTCCTTGTCATGGCTTCGTCAGAAACGCAGGAGATGATAGACATCCTGGCGAGGAGGGAGCTGGCCGACTCGGCGGAGTTGGCGGCGGGCGTCTGCGAGGCCCTCGCGCCCCGCGCCGCGCCATCGCCCCGCCTCGCTGCGGGCGCCAGCCCTCTCGTTCGCTCGATAGCGGCTCGAAACCGGCTCGCGGCGAGAGGGGAGCAGGATGTCGCGGAATCTTGCCGACGCGGACTCAGCCCGAAATATATATATATATATATATATATAATATATATATATATATATATATACCCAAAACCGGGGGGGGGGGCGAGGGTCCTAGTCGTGGGTCTGGTATACAGAATTCCCTTCCCGGGGCGAGCGTCTTCTGAACGCGGCCCAGGGCAGTGGGGTCTGACTGGGGCGAGGAGGGTGTGGTATACCCAGAGCTCTTGAGGACGGGTCTTGGTCATGGTCCGTGCTGGCCGTCGCCGACTCGCCAGACTGATCAACGAATTTCGAAGAACAGAGACGACACAAGCATATTTCGGATGTCCTAGTAGAAGGGATGGGGGGGAGGCCACAGCCCTCCCAGTGGAGCAATCTTAGACCCCCCACCAGACCTGCTGTGAAGAGTTAGCCAGACCCCGCGGGCCCCCCCCCAAGACAGCTCCAGTCAGAGCCCCCCCCTCCAGTCAGGCCTTCCCCCTGCTGCCACGACACTCGGAGTGCCTCCTCGGAGGGCCGCGCGGCATCGTCGGATCCCCCGGCGGCGCCTTCCGCGCCGCCCCTTCCCGGCGCGCTCTCGGGCGCTCCGCGCGTGGACGTGCGAGAGGTCATGCGTCTGCTGTTTGTTTGTGTTTGTCTTGTGCCTCTTGCCGAGCAGGCGTGCTGTCAACCACGGGCTGACGAGCGAACAACACACACCCGTACCCATAGGGGGGGGTCGTTGGGAGGAGCACTGGCTATGGGTGTGGGTGCGGGTTGTCGGACCCTGGGGAACGCTCCCGTTCGAACGGGGACCCACATCCGACAACACGCACACATAGCCCTCTCCGACCCCCTTCTGGGTATGGGTGTGTGTTGTTGGTTCGTCACGGGCAGAGGGGGGGTGGCGGGAGGGGGGGGGGGGGGAAGGCTTCTTAGAGAGTGGGCCTGTTTTCCACCGCCACCACCTCAGGTCGGGGGGGTGAGGGGGTCCTCCCCCTCTTCTTTCTTCCTCCTCCTCATCCGCCGCCTCCATCCCCCCTCCAACTCATGGTGGTGGTGGTGGAAAGCAGGCCCATCATGAGAAGCACCTCCCTTCTTAGAAGGCGCGGGGGCCCCTTCTGAGAAGCTTGTGGCTGCCCCTTAAAAGGTGCTCCTGGCGTGGTTCTGAGAAGCAGCGGCGTGCATCCAAGAAGCTGTTTTGCTTCTAAGAGGCAGTTCCGTGCTTCTGAGAAGCTGCTGGGCTTGTTGTAAGAAGCGGTGCGCCCCTGGCTTCTTGGAAAGCCGGCCGGTGCCTTCTAAGAGGCAGTCGCTTTCTAAGACGCCTTCCCTCTCGCTCTACCCCCACTGAGCGCGCCTCCAATACTGCTCGAGTTCGCTGGAATTCGGGTTGGCTGACTGTTTTTGTCGGGCCCGTTCGCGAATTTTGACGGTCCCGTTTTCGTGAGATGTTTGCAGGTTGGGCTGCCCGCGTGTGCCACCACGAGATCAGTATCCTCTCACTCTTCCCGGGCCGAACGAAAAGGGGGATAGGGAAAGACGGGGGGGTCCGAAATCTGCTGCATGCAGCTGATTTCAGCCCCACCGAGGGGCCCATTTCTCGATGCATGGGCGCCTCCCAGCGCCTGGAGGCGCCGGGAAAATCAGCTGCTCTTCCCGGTGCCTGTGGCAAGTTGGGCTCAGGCCGTCGGCCGAGTTTGAGCATCGGTTGGGAGCAGATGCTGGCCCCTGGGCCGTGCGCCTTCGGCGCCCGCGCGGCGGCGGTGGGTCTGCAGGGTGCATCATGCGTACGATCTCCTGCAGCCCGCGCCTGGGGCTGCAGGCGGAGGGGGCCACGTTCGAGGGGGCTCTCGTGCATGACTGGCGCGGGCCGCAGACCTCCGAGTGGAGGAGGCGCGGCGGCCGCTGCAGGAGTTTTTGGGGCCAGGCAGTGGCCGAGGGGCCCGTGGAGAGAATCGGCTGAGGGCGCTCCACGGCCGCCCTGAGCGAGCCATGCTGGAGGGTGCCGCGGTGGCGGGGGAGTCCAGGGCGTGAAGGGCGCCCCCAACCGCGGAGGGCCTTTCTGGAGGGCGGGCAGGGCTCCGAGACCGCGCCCACGCGCCCTCGCGCGCGAGCGCGGGTGCGGTGAGGGAGGGGGGGGGGCCCGAGTGACGGGGCGTGAGGGGCGAGGTGTGGTGGCGGGCCCCGGCGCTGGCAGCGTCTGGTGGGGGGGGCCCAGGGCCCGCGCCCCTCGCCCCGATCGGTGCCTCCGCCCCCCCCTCCTTGGCGAGCCGCTCCCCTCGCAGAAGGGGGGGGGGCCAAGTTCCTGGGAGCGGCCCGGGTCTTTTCGCTACAGGGCCCCCGTGTCTGCCACCCGTGGAGAAGGCAGCAACGTCGCCCCTGTCTTTTTTTCCGCCCCCGCACTACTCGTAGGGCTATTCGAGGATAGGCCCCCGTGTGCCAACGCGAACGTGTATCCTCGTACTATGCCCGACGCCTGCGGCCATTTGGGTTTAGGCGCTTGGCCGATTTTGAGCAACCCACCCGCCACCCCAGGGCATCAAGTTCCTTGGAGTGGTGCGGGCCCTTCGCTACAGGGCCCTCGTTTCAGCACCCGTTAAAGAATCATCATCGTCACTCCCCTGGATGACCGCCATCTCACCAGTTTGTAGGGCTCTTCGACGAAACTGGGTCGAATTGTAGACTGGGTTTCTCATCGTTTTCCTGACGGCCCCTGTCGGGCCAACCCGGGCCCCCCGAACCCGAATCTTTCGTCTTCACGATTCTGGATGACCAGGGTAGACAATGTCCAAGAGCGGCGTTGGCGTTTCCGTGCTCACTCTCGGCTGCGGTCATTGGTTTTCTTCACCCCGCGAACGGCACAGCCCTCAGAGGAGGAAGGCGGCGCCGACGAGCGCTGCCTCTCCAGCTTCGCCGCCGCTGGGGCCGCCCTTGGAGATCCTGGTCGGAACGCGCCCCAGGAGGGGTCTTCGGGGGCAGCGTCGCGGGGAATACAGTCGGGGCCCTGAAGAAGGAACCCTTTCGGTTGGGGAGGGGCTCCGCGTTCCTTGAGTGTTTCACAGCTTGCCTCAGGCTTTCCTTAGGTCTTCGATCGGAAACCGAAGTTTAACTTATGGAAAAAAGGGGCCTCGTTCCTTATTTAGGGTTCTTTAGGTCAACGCCCCGACTGTAGGCATAAGAAAGGGGGGACGCATCGACCTCGCAGGGCTGATCCATCGACGACGCACCGCCCTCGCGGCCGAGGCTCGCCGTGGCCACGCGCGCGCCCCCCCCGTTCCCGAGTCGCCGTCCGTCGGCGCGGCCACGGTGCTCGTCTCGGCGTGGCTCCGCTCCCCGGGGCCTCGCTCGCTCTGCCCTGCTCCTGCTCCTCCTCCTCCTCCTCCTTCTCCTCCTCCTCCTCCTCCTCCTCCTCCTCCTCCTCCTCCCCCTCCTCCTCCTCCTCCTCCTCCTCCTCCTCCTCCTCCTCCTCCTCCTCCTCGCCCTGCTCTGCCCTGCCCGCCTCGGGGTCCGGGCTGCCCGAGCGCGTGCCCGAGGCCGGGCGGGGCGGGCGAGGGCCGCGGCCCGGCGGCAGGCGCTCGGCCCCGCGCCGGGGCGCCGCGGCGGCCCTCCGCGCGGGCGCCGCCGAGCACCGCCAGCGGTCGCGTTCGGTTCCTGGCCGTCGGAGGTTCTCCTCCTCCTCCTCCTCCTTCTCCTCGTCTTCCTGGTCCTCCTCCTCCTCCTCCTCCTCCTCCTCGTCCTCGTCCTCGTCCTCCTCCTCTCCTCGTCCTCCTCCTCCTCCTGCAGCTGAAGCGCACTCGTCGGCCACGGGGCTCGGCACGGCGGCGGCCGTGCTCCAGGGACACCGGCTGCAGGCAGTCTGGGCAGATTCCTTCTCGGCGGGACGCTGGTCTTTGAAGGAGCCCTGGGACACACAAATAAATACATAAATCAAAAGATCCGCCATGTTTTCCTATATTTTCTGGGTTTTTGTCTGCCCCCCCACTTCCCATATCTTCCCATATTTTCCGGGGAATCGACGATTCATTGAGTCTGTGTGTTTTTTCCCCTCCTGCGCCACCCCAGCCCAAGCCGAAGGCCCCCATTAGCCCTCCATTTCCAGTGGACGGGAGGTGGGTTCGACTACACGTAAGAGTGACCCTTCGCCGGAGTGACCTTTGGTGCGGGCACAGATGGGTCCCCCGATCGCTGAGCGCGCTGCGATGGTAGCGCCCTGCGCGCTTGTGGTTGGCCCCCCCGCGGCCCTCAAAAAACCGCGCACCAAAGGTCATTCTTGACCCAGGGTCACTCTTGCGTGTAGCCGATGGGGGGGCGGGAGACATGGACAAAGACACGCGTGGAGCCCGTGCCCCCCCACAGCCCGAAATGCGGGTCTTCGGGCTGGGTTGGGTCGGTTTGGTAGGTAGTCGGAAGGAGGAACCACTTGCAGACTCATGACCTCTCGGAGATCCGCGTTGATTCTTGGGGTCGGCGCTGGGCCCCGCGCTGTTCCGCCGCCAGCCGCCAGCGACGAGCTCCAGCAGCCTCGCCCCGAGATAGCATGACCCATGTGCTGGGGATGCCGTCGGAATCGCCGCCCGCGCCACGCAAGTTGCAGCAGCGAGACAGGTACCTTCGCGGCGCCGTTGTGTCTGCCCACGTCGCCGAATCGGCAGGCGATGCCGTGGCGAGTGGTGTCCTTGCCTGCAGTTGCGCTGCCGTGCCCGCCGCGTGCTGTGTCGGCGGGCTGGGGATGCCGCGTGGCCGCCGCACGCAGCGCTGGGCTGACCACGGCGACTTCGTGGCGGAAGCTCTGGGAGCGCTCCCCGGGGGTTTCTCGGCCGTCTCGGCCGAGCGCGTCCCGAGCAAGCCGCTTGCCGGGAGGTCCCCCGTGAGAGCTTCGGGGCCCGGCTGTGATCGGACGCGGGGGCGACGGTGGCGGCCAGGATCAGAGGCCGAGGTTCGAAAGGCGAGGCTCGACTTTGACCCGAACTTCGAAGGCAGCACTAAGACCTGGCCAGGAGGAACTTCCCAGGCGGCCAAGCAGAGCCGCGCGCTTCCAGCAACCTCGGGCCTCGATCCTCGAAGTTCGATCCTCGACGTCGACCCCTCTTTATTGTCATCCTCCTCTTCCTTTCCTAGACCCTTGATCCTCGATCTTTCGTCCTTTGATTCTCGATCCTTCGTCCGCCTCAACGACGGCGGCGACGGCAACGATGACGACGACGCCAGCGGCAACGATACCCGTTCAAAGTCTGTCCTCACATCCCTACCAGGTTCATCTGGTTGGCTTCCCACCGGGGATCGACCTCCGATTCGGTTTCGCGGCCCGAAGCGGGCACCCCCTCCAAGAGGTCGAACATTCCAGACGAACTGTGCTCGAACCTCGATTGGCGGCGGCGGCGGCGACGGACACGACGACCCCCGCCGCGGTCGACCACGACAACGGCGGTGGCTGCGGCGACGACGACGAGGAGGACGACGACGATTTGTGGAGGTAGGTCGCGACCTAGACCCTCGAGCCTTCCTCCTCCAACCCAAGCCACGTCGCGAGGGAGGGTCTTCTGGGCAGCGACCAGCGGCGGCGGCGGCGGCGAGAGGCGGCTTCTCCGTTTCACTGCCAAGGGGCTCTCCCCTCGCCGTGCTCCCTGCACGACTCGGCGGGGGGCGGGCCGCCCCAGGGGGCGACCACCGGAGGGCACCAGCTGCACGCCCACACAGGGGGGGAGGGCAGGGAGGGGGAGGGAGGGGGGAGGGAGGGGAGGGATGGGGGGGAAGGGCGGGGGGGGGGGGAGGAGGGTAAGGAGGGGAGGGCGGGGAGGGAGGGGAGGGGGGGAGGGAGGTGGAGGAAGGAGGGGGGGGGAGGGGAGGCGGGGAGGGTAAGGAGGGGGGAGGGAGGGGAGGGTAAGGAGGGCCAGGAAGTGGGGAGGGAGGGGGGAGGGGGAGGGATGGGGGGGGAGACAGCCGCACGCGACCCCCCGGCCGGCATCGGCGTCCACGCCTCCCGGCCTGGGCCCCCGGGGAGCAGGCGCGCCCGCCCGGCCCAGGAGGGGTCCTCCTCCTCCTCCTCCTCCTCCTCCTCCTCCTCTTCCTCCTGCTCCTCCTGCTCCTCCTCTTTCTCCTCCTCCTCCTTCTCCTCCTCCTCGTCGTCCTCCTCCTCCTCCTCATCCGTCTCTTCCTCCTCCTCCTCCTCCTCCTCCTCCTCCTCCTCGAGGCGGAGCGATGCCAGTGGCCCAGAGCCGACCGCAACACGGAGCGATTCGGCGATCGGAAGGGCCGCCGCTCGCTCGAGGCTGCAGGAGATATCCACGCGCGCGCGGTATCCGAGTCCAACGCCCAAGCCGACACCAACACGAACTTGCTCAGAGCGTGAATTACCTACCCCGCTTTCGCTTCCAGGCAAAACCAAGTCATACCACGCGCCTCCTCGTTAAGCGGCCTGACCAGTACAGGCCGTAGTTTGACATCGCTTGGTATCTCTTGGAAGCGAGGGTGGTCAAAAGCGAGCTAGGTTTGTTTGCCCCCTACTTGCCGTGGGCGTCTCGTGGGCGCCGCTCCAGGCCGCCCTGCTGCGGCGGCGAAGGTCGGCGACGCCCCCCCCCCCCCCTGTCGAGGAGGCCCAGAGCTCGGGCGCCGAGGCGCCCGAGGCCGCCTGCGCGGACGCACCGCCGGAGCACCGCGCCTCGTCCTCCTCCGCGGCCGCGCCCGCGGCCGCGGCCGAGGAGGAGGAGGACGAGGACGAGGAGGAGGACCCCGCGGCGGCGGGGGGGGCAGGGGGTGTGTCGAGGCGCAAGAGTTGGAGGCTCGAGGTGCCCATCCTCCTCCGCGGCCGCGGCCGCGGCCGAGGAGGAGGACCCCGTAGGCCAGGGGCGTCGCCGCCCCTGTGCTTTCTGGAGGGCACGAGGCATATCTCTTCCTCTTGTGTAGTTCGCGGCGTTGTCTCTCCTCGGCTGGTCGAGCAGCGGGGGGCGTTGCTTTTCTAGCTTTCGCTATAGTCTCCCATTTGCTGCTTGAGGAGCAGGGAGCGCTGCTTTTCTGTAGTGCTCGTCAATGTCTGCCTTACCGCTGTTCCCGTGGGTCAGAGGACGAAAAGGTACCGACACCGCTATGCTTGCCGCGCTTTCGCTTTTTTGGGCCTCCTGGGAGGATCTACCGTTGGTTTCGCTTCGAGACTCTGGTCAGAAAGCGCCCCAGAAGAGGCCTGGGGATCAGCGGTATCGGCATCTTTTTGCTTTCCTGAGGTCTTAGGGGGGGTCGATGCTCGAAAGTTGGAGGATCGAGGTTCTCGGGCGCTTCTCGCCCTTATTTGGGCTCACGGGGGCCTCTCGTCGTCATGACTGGGGATCCGCCTGGAAGTTCTGGTCTGAACGCACATCAGGAGAAGTCAGCAGGTCGTTTTCATGAGGAGTTCCGAGGGCGACGAGGTGGGCGTTGAGAGGGAGGGATCGAGAGCGAGGGGGAGGACCACCCACCCCTCGAGCCGTTGAACAAATTCCGTGGACGGCTTTTTGCAGTTTGAGGGCCCTCACCGACTCATCGAGCCCTGGCCAGGACCGTAACAAAGACTGCCCTACGTAGATGCCACGAGACAAATCACGACGCCGGAAGCTGAAGGGTTGGGGCGAGGACGACGTGGATGACCTCGTGGGGGAGGAGGAGGATGAGGACGAGGAGGAGAAGGAGGAGGAGGACGAGGAGGAGGAGGGGGAGGAGGAGGAGACTGAGTAGGAGTGGGAGGAGGAGGAGGAGGAGGAGTCTTTTTTCGCAGTGCTTGCGCCAGGGGCGCGGTCGTCGACGAAGTCAATGTTGAGGCTTTGGCTGGTGTCGGCGTTTCTTGTCCCCACGTCTGGGCGCGGCTGCAAGAGGATGGACTCTGGGAGAGGTCCAGGGACAGGAGGAGGAGGAGGAGGAGGAGGAGGAGGAGGAGGAGGAGGAGGAGGAGGAGGACGAGCAGGACGAGCAGGACGAGCAGGACCAGAGTAAAACCGAGAGTCATCAACGATATTGAAATTAACCCTTCCTCCAAGGTCCCTCTTCATAGGCCCCCACAAGTGTTCATTTCCATTGAGGGAACTGGCTCGTTGGAAGACAGCCGTTTGAAGATCTTGACGATAGCCAGAACATTGTTCTCGGGATTTCAACGCCACGTATCAACCTGACTGCTGCGTCTTGACGATCCGGAATCGTGCCAGAGCGCCATATTTGGGACTTCAACACCGCGAATCAACAGAACTGTTACACCCGCATAATCATGAATCCGTCCAAAACACCATTTCTGGTACGATGATCATGGGAATACGTGAAACACTTGCGAATTTCGAAAATGACTGTGCGCGGCGCAGGAGGAGGAGGAGGAGGAGGAGGAGGAGGAGGAGGAGGAGGAGGAGGAGGAGGAGGAGGAGGAGGTGGAGGGAGCAGGGAGGAGGGAGGAGGAGGAGGAGGGAGGAGGAGAAGGAGGAGGAGGAGGAAAATGAGGAGGCCGGCTTTCCAGCGGGTGTGTACGGGCGGGAATCGAGGACGAGGATGTCCTCTCCCTGCTGCTCCACCCCTTTTCCTCCGTTCGCCGCAGCCCCCCCCCCCCCCTTTCCTCCTCCGATCGCTTCGCTCCGCGTCGCTGGGGCGGGTCGCGCGTCACCGCCGCCGCGAGCCTGAACAGGCAGACTGGGCCGACCCGTCCCCAGGGGGGGGGGGGCTTACACCACGTGTGTCCGAAACATCCAGATCTGAGCCGCCAGCCGCTGCGCTCTCCTGGCGACGCGCACTCCTCCTCCTTCCCATTCTCCCCCCCATCTCTCCCTCTCCTCCCGCGTCCTCCTCCTGCTCTTCCTCCTCCGCTTCCTTGCCAATCCCTTCTCTTCATACTTAATTCCTCCCTGTCTCGGCCGGATGGCGATGGGGGGATCAGGACATGGGGGGATGAGTATCCGGTACCGTTTTGTTGGGGCACAATTTGTACCTTCTCTGCGGGTTGCAAGTACAAATTGTACCTTCTCCCCCCCGTTAACGTCCTCGCACATGTCGCGGACGTTGTGAAAAGTACAATTTGTACTTTGTTTGGGTGGCGTCGGTACAACTTGTACCTTCTCCGTGGGGCGTAGGTACAACTTGTACCTCCGTTGCGCCTCTCTCCCCATCTGGACTTATCCCCCCATTTGCATCCCGCCAACTGTCGCACCCGCAAGCGTGTCGGTTGGGCGGCTCGAGCTTTTCGCTTGAGATCTCTGTTTTACTCTTGACCCTGCAACACGAATTTAAGTGTGGAGGTCGGGTTGTTTTCAGAACGGGGCTCTGGCCTTAGCGCCGCGCATCTTTGTCTAACAGTTTGCAGCATGCTCGAGGGTGGAGGGCGGTTCTCAAGACGGGGCTCTGGCCTCAGCGCCGCGCATCTTCGCTTTTAACAGTTTGCAGCAGGCTCAAGGGGGGAGGGCGGGCCCTTTCCAACACATGACACGCGGGTCTCGCCTCGGCGCCGCGCCCGTTCGATTGACAGGTTTGCGGCAGCTTCAAGGGCGGATGGCGCTCCCTTTCTCCAGCATGTGGCTCTCGCCCTGGCGCCGCGCGCGGCCGTTTCTCAACGTTGATGGCAGTCTCAAGGCTTCGTAGGGTGAAGTCCCAGGGGTTCTGTTCTGGCGATATTCAGGCCTAGCAAGACGCAACCGTCACGTTGGTTCACGGCGTGGAATTTCCAGGACTGGTGTTTCGATGCGGTTGAGAATTCTCAGACGGTTCTCAGACGCGATGGTCATACCGTTGTTTTTGAAGGTCCTATGGATAGGGTCCTTGGAGGGCATGCAGGGGCCTAGGGACAGGGAACTCGGAGGGAGGGCTTACTGCAACATCGCTGCTGCGTATTGGCCGTACACTGGCCCTCGCCCTTTCCTGGGCATGCTGTGGGAGCGGGGGCTCGCAGCGGCGGCCTTCTCCTGACTCCTGATCCCTGGTAGCTGCAAGATCCTCCGGATGTAGCCTCCCCCCCAGGGCCGGGCGGCTTTGGGGAGGTGAATCACACCAAGCAGCCAGGCCACTCTTGCGACCCGCTGTGGCGACGAGATATTTGTGTCCTCCTCGTCCTCCTCCTTCCCTCCTCCTCCTCCTCCTCCTCCTCATCCTTCCCCCCGTCCCCTCCTCCTTCTCTTCCACCTCCTTCTCCTCCTTTTTTTTCCCCTCCTCGCGGGGGGGGGGGGCACCGAAGAGGAGGAGGAGGAGGAGGAGGAGGAGGAGGAGGAGGAGGAGGACGAGGAGGAGGAGGAGGAGGACGAGGAGGCGGAGTTGGAGGAGGACGGACGACGAAGACGAGGAGGACGAGGAGGAGGACGGCGACGAGGACCACGTGTGGGGGGCGGGGGGGGATCGAGGAGGAGGACGAGGACGAGGAGGACGAGGTGGAGGAGGACGGCGACGAGGACCTCGCGGGGGAGCGTGGGCAGCGGCCAAAGCTTCAAAGCTCGGAGGTCTTTGTCCCAAAGGAGCGGGCAACGACGGTACTGGGGGGGGGGGTGCAGTGAGCGCGAAACGATCAACTCCTTGAGATGGGGCAGGAAACGGCCAGGCAGGTCTGGAGATTCGCGACACCTGCCAGACCAGCTCGGCCAAACAGAAGGGCAGAAGGTGGGGCCTCCTCAGGACCTAGGAGCTGGCTCATGCGGCCGAAAGTGAAACACGACCTCGCGGGGTGGGTGGGGGGGATCGATTAGGAAGGAGGAAGAGGGCGCCCTTGCGTTTTTTTTTTTGGGTGGGGGGGTGGGGGGGGGGGGTGGGGGTGTTGTTGTTGTTGTTGTTGAACATTATTCCTTCTAAAGAATTATTATTGTTGGGACCCCTGGTGCGCGACCTCTGCGCCGCGCCTAGGCCGCAGCTACATTTTCATCATTTTTTCGCGAAAGCTTCAGAAAAGTGGATGAGCTCCGGATCCGGTTTTTTGTTGACGCTCGTTTTCCCTTGCAAAAAACAATAGAAAATGAAAATTCTTGTTTTTACTTGATCAAATTGCAAGAATCCCTTGCAAAAAATAAGGTAAAGTGGACATTCGTGCGCGCAAGACGAAATCCTTCCAAAACCTTAGGTTTCGTACGATTTTAACATAAAAACATCAAAAACCCAATGGTTTTCTCAGAAAAAATTGTCAAAATGTCCTTCCGCGCGCTCTTGCGGATTCCTAGGAAACCCACCAGATTTTAAACATTTCTGTTAAAAGGGCCTTTGCGAGGAACCTTTTCAGGTGCTTCGACCTTCTGCAACAACGGTTGCGAGCCTACGAGGGCCACCATCCCTTGCAAAAAATGACACGAAGTGCACATGCGCGCGGCCGCCGCGCGCGCGTGCCGAAATCCTGCCAAACATAATGTGATTTCAATAATTTCAAGATGCGATGTTCCGAAAACATATGCAAACGCAAGACTTTCTCATCCGAAAAATATCAAAATCCACCCGCGGGCTCTTCATGAATCTTTAAAACCCAAGATGGCCCCAAGAGGCGCTCAAGATGGCCCCAAGAGGCGCCCATGAGGCCGCAAGAGGCGCCCAAGATGGTCCCAAGAGGCCCCAAGAGGACTCCAAGAGGCCCCCAAGAGGTTCCAAAGAGGCTCCAAGTTGGCTCCAAGAGGCCCCCAAGATGGCCCCAGGAGGCGTCCAAGCGGCTCCAAGAGTCCTCCGGGAGGATCCAATAAGCCCCCAAGAGGCCCCAACATGCTTTCAAGAAGCCCCCCAAAGCCTCTCAAGAGGACCCCATGCGGCGCCAGGAGGCTTCCCC